TCTTCTTCTCATGGTAGAATGAAGAAAAAGACCACCCATTTTGTAGAAGGTGGAGATGCTGGCAACAGGGAAGACCAGATCAACAGACTTTTTAGAAGGATGAACTAAGGTATCTACCATGATTATTTTTGTAATATGGTCAGCTAATAAAACAGTATATGTTCTCAAATTGAAAAAAAAAAAAAAAAGAGGTAGCATATGATCAAGAACAAATGGTACTGAAGGAAGAAGTCCAAGCTGCATTGAAGGAATTGGTGAAAAGCTAGGCTCAAGGAATTGACAAAATAAAATTGTATTATTTCAACAAACTGATGAAACACTACAAGTGCTCATTCATCTATGTCACACTAATTGGAAGAGAACCATATTTATGCCCATTCCAAAGAGAGGTGACCCAATGGGATGTGGAAATCATTGAACAATACCATTAATATCATGTGCAAGTAAAATTTCACTGAGGATAATTCAAAAACAGCTGCAGCAGTACCTTGGCAGGGAGCTGTCAGAAATTCTAGCAAGATTCAGAAGAGAATGTGGAATGAAGCAGAACATTCATTCAATAGCATTACAGACATCAGATGGATCTTGGCTGCAAGCAGAGAATGCCAGAAAGATCCTTTCTTGTGGTATGCAAAGGCTTTTGACTGTGTGCATTATGATAAACTATGAATAATATTTGGAAGAATGAGTATTGCAGAATACTTAATTGTGCTTATGAGGAACCTGTATATAGAGCAAGAGGCAGTCGCTGGAACACAAAAAGGGGATACTGAATGTTTAAAATCAGGAAAGGTGTCTACCAAGGTTGTATTCTTTCCCCATACTTACATATTCTGAGCAAATAATCTGAGAAACTGTATTATATGACAAACCAGACATCAAGATTAGAGGAAGACTCCTTAACTACTTGTGATATGCAGATGGCACAACCTTGCTTGCTGGTAGTTAAAATATATGATGATTTTAACTAAGATGAGTTAAAATATTTACTGATGAAGATCAAAGACCATAGCTTTCAGTATGTATTGCCCCTCAATGTAAAGAAAACAGAAATCCTCACAACTAAACCAACTATGAACTCCTGGAGTGGTGCTGTAGGGTCAACACTGGACTGCGAATCACAAGGTAGGCAGTTCAAACTTACCAGCTGCTCCTCGGAAATCCTATACAGGGTCACTATGAATCGGTGCTGACTCGGCGGCACTTAACAACAACAACAAATGGTGAAAGGTTGAAGTTGTCAAAGACTTCATTTTGCTGGGATCTACAAACAATATTCATGGAAGCAGCAGTCAGGAAATCAAATGACCTATTGCATTGGGCAAAACTGCTGCACAAGACCTCTATAATGTGTTCAAGAGCAAATATCAGTTTGAAGACTAAGGTGCACCTGACCCAAGTCATGGTACTTTCACTGGCTTAATATGCATGTGAAAATTGGACAATGAATAAGGAAGAACATAGAAGAATTGATGCATTTGAGTTATGGTGCTGGAGAGGAATATTGACAGTTTCATGGACTGCCAGAAGGACAGACAAATCAGTCCTGGAAGAATTACAGCCAGAATGCTTCTTGGAAGCCAGGCTGGTGAGACTATAGCTCATACTTCAGATGTGTTATCAGGAGGGACCAGACTTTGGAGGACATTATGCTTAATAAAGTGGAGGGCCAATCAATAGGAGGAAGACTCCCAATGAGATGCACTGGCACAGTGGCAGCAGCAGTTGGCTCATGTAACAACAATTGTGAGAATGGCACAGGACTGGGATTTGTTTTTGTTCTGTTGTGCATAGGGTTGCTATAAGTAGCAACTGACTCCATGGCACCTAACAACAACATATGACAAAAGCCTGCTTTCATGGAGCACACCATCTAGTCAAGAGAGGTAAGAAATAACATAAATAAAATATATTAAGAAATCATAAAGGAAAGAATGAAAACATAAAACATGGTAAGTGGATAGTGAGTGATGAGTCTTTCCCTTTTCTTCATTTGTTTTATTTTTTATATGGTTATATATAACAAAACCTTTACCAATCAATATTTTTGTATGTACAATTCCCTGATTATATTCATCATGTTGTACAACCATTGCCATTATCCTTTTCCAAATTATTCCACCAGATGGTTAGTCTTTTGGTAGCCTGACTTTTCTGACAGGAAAATAATTGAGCAAAATATGGATGATATAAGGGAGTGAACCATGGGACGGTGTAGAGTATGAGTATTATGTACAGAGGGAGTTACAAACATAAATGATTTGAAGCGAGAGTAAGCATGGCTGATTATAAAATACTCTGGGCCATTATGGCTAGAGAGGAGTTGGAGACGTAAGGAGATGATGGAAGAGAGATTGGTTATTGTTGTGTGCTGTCACGTCAGTTCTGACTCACAGAGACACTGTGTAGTGTTTCCAAGGAGTGGCTGGTAGGTTTGAATCACTGACCTTGTGGTTATTAGTCCAGTACTGATCCTACAGCACCACATCAGGACTCCAGAGAGATGGGTAGGGGTTTATATTACATAAATGTCTATAGACCATGGTGATGAGTTTGGATTTTATTCCAAGAGTGATGGGAAACTATTGCTAATATGTTGTTGTTGTTAAGTTCCATTGTATTGGTTCTGACCCATAGCAACCCTGTATAGGGTTTCCAGGGAGTGGCTGGTGAGCTTGAACTGCTGACCTTGTGGTTCAAACCGACTTTGCAGCCTAGCACATTAGCCCACAGTGCCACACCAGGAATCCATTGAAAATATAGGGACAGCAAAATGCGAATCACTTGTAAATTTGCTTGTCAATTGTATTTGTGTAACTGCAATGGCTTAAATAAATTAGCATCTTGGCCTTCATACATGACAAAACGTACAGATTCTGGAAAATCAGAATTGATCAGTAGCTATAACTTTCTATTTTCTAACTTTCTATTTTGCTATCCTTAGTGTGTAGTTTTCTATTTATGAGTGCAAGATGGCATCTAGTGACTATAATCCTGGCAGGGTAAAAAGAGAAAAGAGCAAAGCTTGCAAGCCAAGTGCCTGTTGAATCTGTACCTTTGTATCAGAAAACAAATAGTTGTTACAGAAGTCCCATTCAGTAGACTTAGGCTTACATATGGAAAAAAAATGGACACATGATTTCAATAAGAAGTGATGGGTCAACCCCTAACTCACATCATATACAAAAATTAATTTGAGATTGATAAAGATTTAATACGTTTGGAAGAAAATACAGGAGATACTCTGCCAGGTGCCAAAAAACAGTTAATACGTTCAGCTGTTAACTGAAAGGTTGGTAGCTCGAGTTCACCCAGAAATGCCTTGGGAAAAAAGACTTGATTTACTTTAGAAAAATCAGCCATTGTAAACCTTATAGAACACAGTTGGACTTGGACTCAGATGGGCTTGCCACGAGTCAGAATCCACTCAACGGCAAATGGATTTTACCTTTGCAGCATTAGGGTACACAAAGACTCCCTAGACACAGAAACCATTAAATAACATACTAATAATGATGATGATAACAATAATAAATTAATTGCATCTCATCAAAGGGGAAGATTCAGAATCAAATGACACTCATTGTTAAGTTCATGAATAGACAAGCTGCTGACTAGGAGGAAATATTTTTTAAAATATATTCCTGACAAAAGATTTGCACCAAAAAATATGTAAAGGACTCTTACAACCCAATAAATAGAAGAAAAAAATCCAATTTTTTTAAATGAGCAAAATATTCCAACAGACCCTTCATGAGGAAGATAAATGACTGCCCAATAAACATATGGAAAGATGCTTAACACCATTAATCATCAGAGAAATACAAATTAAAACTTCAGGGAGATACAGCACAGCTTCTAGAATAACTAAAACTCAAAAGGCTGAAAATGCCAAATGTTGGTGAGGGTGTAGATCAGCCAGATGTCTCACACATTGCATATGTGTGAAAACATAAATTTTACGACCACCTTAGAAAACAGTTAGGGAGTTTCTTAAGAATACCAACATACTTCTTTCCTATGATTCTGTAATTTCACTCTTGGTTTAGTTAGAACAAGATCATTGAGGGACTGTTCTCAGAAATTGAGATTAAGACGCTTACTATTAACAGGCTGAACTGGAGAGGGTTCTGTGGGAAGACGGGAGGGATTGGGGAAAGGTGGATGATTGGTTCTACTTCTGGGATTTTTAGTGCAATCGATGATTAAAGAGATTGGGTAATAGGAGATGACCTAGGAGAGTTGGACACCTGGCAGGTTATAACCATATAGCAACTAGTTTTGATGGTTTTTCAAGGGCTAAAGTTCCAATTGGGATTTCTTGAGACTGGTCCTTTCAGTAGTTTGTGGTGTTGAGGTATGTGGTATGGCCTCAGGCATTCTGTTGTCCCCAAAACACTGTTCCATGAACCTTCTTTTGAGAAGTTTTAATGTTCATATCTGGAAATGGGACCAAGTTATATCACGTGCCATTCCTACATCACTCATTGTGGCTGCAGGAGTGAGATTACAGAGACTTTGAATGTCTGAAATTCAGGGGAGTAGTGTGTGTGTGTGTGTGTGTGTGTGTGTGCACTTAGGCTACACGGAAGAAGACAGACTGAACAGTTGCCAAGAGATGAGAGGTAATTGTTGCGGAATTTCCAAACTTAGCTCACATTCATTAAAATCCCTCACCCAGCAACCAGTAAACACATGATGCTGTTGATAGAGAAATTTGGGGAGAGTGTGGGTAGATCCAGATAAACATATCCTCACTCTGGGGAATTAGGTGGAAATATTGTCTTCAGTGATAAAAAGAAGCACATAATTTGACTGGCAGTACAGTATTTCTATTTGATCGAGGATCCAATTGTATTGTGTGGTTAAATACTTCTCCATCACAAAGACCAGAACTTTAAAAAGTGTGGTACCCCAATTTTGTTTACAATTGTCCTCGAGTAATATTGCTCATAAATATCTGGGGTCCATTTATAAGATGTTTCTTTTCTTTTTCACAGGAAGAACTGAAAAGATTGCAGAACCCTTTAGAACAAGTTAATGATGGAAAATATTTGCTTGAAAAGTAAGTAAAAATTACTAAAAGAAGTTACGTTAGTTGAAAGATTGAGAAACATATATGAAACAAAGCTGCCTGGCACCGTAAAAATTAATAAGTAGATACGATGGTTTCTCATATAATTGTGGGCAGGGTACAGAAATGCGGCTAATTTGAAATATGGTTAGATTAATTTATAGCTACTTGAACAATGATACAAACTGTACTGCTCATTGGAGTAACATGGCCCTTGGAAGATATCTCTGGTGGTGTGTCTGAGGGCTTGAAACTTAACATTACCCTGTCTTCCCCTTTTAAGCAATGACATGTATAAAAGGCAGGCCTAAAATTTGCAAAACGCACAAGATTAACACTAAAAATGAATATTCAAAATAATACTGCAGAATGGGAGAAAACTGGGGAAAGAAAAGAAGGGAGGAAGGGAAAGAAAGGAGAGAAGAAAGAGATGAAGTTAAAGAGAAACAAGTAAAGTCTTGCATATATGTTTGTTAAAATTATATGATATATATTATGTATCTAAATCTATGATACAATACTAGGCTGATTAATGGGAGTGTGGTGGCTCTGTAGGATAAGCTCTCGACTGTGAATCACGAGGTCGGCTGTTGAAACCCACCAGCATCTGCACAGGAGAGAGATGAAGCTTTCTGCTCCCACAAAGATTTACAATCTCAGAAACCCCATACAGGATTGCAATGAATTGGAACCAACTCAACAGTACTTAACAACAAGACTGATTAATAGACATGCATTGTCAAGATTGTTGTTGTTAGGTGCCATTGAATCGATACTGACTCATAGCGACACAGCAGAACGAAACACTGCCAGATCATGAGCCAACCTCACTACTGTTGCCATGCTTGAGTCCATCAATGCTGCCACTTTGCCAATCCATCTCACTGGGGGTCTGCCTCTTTTTCTCTGACCCTCCACCTACCAAACATGATATCCTTCTCCAGCAACTGGTCCCTCATGACAGTATGTCCGAAGTATGAGAGACGAAGTTTGGCCATCTTGGCCTCCAAGGAACACTGTGGCTGCACTTCTCCCAAAATGGATCTATTGGTTCTTTTGGCAGCCCATGGAACTTTCAACATTCTCCTCCAACACCATAACTCAAAAGCATCAATTCTTCTACAGTCTTCCTTATTCACTGTCCCACTTTTGCATGCATATGAGGTTATTGAAAATAACATGGCTTGGGTCAGGCACACCTTAGTTCTCAAGTTGACATCTTTGCTCTTCAACACTTTCAAAAGGTCTTGTGCAGCACATTTGCCTAATGCAATACATCATTTGATTTCTTGACTGCTGCTTCCATGAGTGTTGATGATTGATGCAAGAAGAATGAAGTTCTTGACAACTTCAATCTTTTCTGCGTTGATAAGAATGTTGTTTATTGGTCCAGTGGTGAGTCCTAACATTGAGATGTAACCCATACCGAAGGTGGTGCTCTTTGATCTTCATCAGTAAATGTTTCAAGTCCTCTTCACTTTCAGCAAGCAAGGTTGTATCATCTGCATATTGCAGGTTGTTAATGAGTCTTCCTCCAATCCTGATGCCACGTTTTTCTTCATAGAACCCAGCTTCTCATATTATTTGCTCAGCATACAGGTTGAATAAGTATGGTAAAAGAATACAACCCTGTCGCACACCTTTTTTAATTTTAAACCATTCAGTGTTTCCATGTTCTGTTTGAACTGCTTCTTAGTCCAGGTACAGATTCCTCCAATTAAGTGTTCCGGGATATTCATACTTCGCAATGTTGTCCATAGCTTGTCATGATCCACACAATCGAAAGCCTTTGTATAGTCAATAAAGCACAGGTAAACATCTTTCTGATATTCTCTGCTTTCAGCCAAGATCCATGGGACATCAGCAATGATATCCCACATTCCACGGTCTCTTTTGAATCTGGCTTGAATCTCTGGAAATTCTCTGTCAATGTATGATTGCAGCCGTTTCTGTATTACCTTTAGTAAAACTTTACTGGCATGCGATATCAAAGAGATTGTCTGATGATATCCGCATTCCATTGGGTCACCTCTCTTTGGAATGGGCACAAATACAGAACTCTTCCAATCAGTTGGCCAGATAGTTGTCTTCCAAATTTCTTGGCAGAGAGAGTGAGCGCCTCCAGTGCTACATCAGTTTTTTGAAAGATTTCAATTTTTATTCCATCAGTTCATGGTGCCTTGTTCTTTGCCAATTCCTTCAATGCACTCTGGACTTCCTCCTTCAATATCATTGGCTGTTGATCATATGCTTCCTCTTGAAATGGTTGAACATTAACCATTTCCTTTTGGTACAGTGACTCTGTGTATTCCTTCCATCTTCTTTTGCTAAATCTTGTCAAGATTAGGGAAGAAGAAATAACTATTATTTCTTGAGCATTTTCAATGCACTTTATACGGTCGAATGCTTCACTGACATTATCTCATCATAGTCTCATGACAGCCTTTTGATACAGGCATTATTGTTTTCACTCTATGGATGAGGAAAGAGGCTCAGGGACGTTTCAGGAACTTGCCTAAGTTTTCATAGCTAGTGAGTGGTCAGGATGGGAATCAAATCCAGGTCTGGATGGCTGCACAGTCCTTGCTCTCAACCAATTACTAAGTCCCAATGGACTCTCTGCTTGCTCGGAGTACCACATTTTTAAAAGTACATTGATGTCCCCAAGAACACCAGAGGAAGCCAATTCAGGTGCGGGGAGAGTTCTGGGACCACTGTAGCTACTGTAAAGAGCTGAGGTTGCATAGTTAGACAAAAGAAGATGCAGAGCTAACCTTAAACATCTAAAAGAATGTTCCTATAAAAGGGGCTAAATTGACCTTCTTGTTCCAGAAAACAGAATAAGAATCAATGAATTGGATTTCTGGACAAACAGATTTATGATTCAGAAAAAGGATAATTTTTGCAAAAATTCAACTGCCCATCAAGAGAATGAACTTCCTTGTTAAGTAATGAGTTCACAGATACTAGAAGTGTCCAAGAAGAGTGTAAATAACCATATATTTGACATGCTGTTGAAAGCATTCCTGAAAATAGGAAACACTAGATTTGTATCCTCTTTGTACTTTTACCTAGCTTTCTGAGTTTAGAAAATTTATTTAACCACTCTGAGTCCTGGTTTCCTCATCTTTAAAATCAGGATAACAGTATTGATTTGACAGTCTTGTTAAAAGCATTAAATCAGACACCTTCAATATTGGCTCCCTTTACGTTCTGTCTGGGTGGGTATTTGAGCTGTATAATTTCTCAAATTCATTTCATCTCTATGAGTGTAAGAACACAGCATACATATCACATTGAAGGGAAACTTCAGCCCTTTGATCACAAGTTTCTGGGTTATCTATGGTTGTAAATTATCCTTGTTATGCCTAGATAAATCCACCTCAAGGTCAGCAATTCCAACTCACCTTTCGCTTCTGGGAACCCTATTCAGGGTTGCTATGAGTTGGAACCAACTTGACCGCACTTAACAACAAAGAGAATGGCTATTCTTATTAATATGGATAAATGAGAATAAACTATCTCAATTGCCCTCCTCCCTTTTACCACCATCACCATTACCTATATGCAAATAATAATAACACAATGGCGTTGGGCTAAAATTAGGAAGAAGGTTTTTCTTCTAGGGATTGCTAGTGTTGTAATGGTATTAGGGCTAGAGCAGTGGTTATGGTCATCAGGCTGCTCTTCGAATCAATCACTGGAGAAACTTTTAAAAAATGCTCTGGTTTAAGGTCTAACCCAAACAAACTGAATCTGAACCTCTGGGGGTGAGACCCTGGAACCAGCATTTACTAAAACGCTTCCATGACATGGTTCTGTTGAGGAGATAGCGATGAGATCCAGTGGTCTAGATATACTGTTGGCTTTTCCTCATTGTTTGATAATCTCCTTCCGCAGTTCAATTCTCTGAAAATATACTTTCTCTGTGATGTTCTTTTGGGTCTTTTATTTATTAAACTTTGCTATGCTGAGTTTTCTACATTGATTTTAGTTTAGGAAATGAACTCCAAAGGTGTTGTTTTTTTCCTGCTAATTGACCACAAGTCTATATTATATTAAGCCTCACACTAATGCCAACTTCCCCAGCAAAAGAAGACATGTGGAGATTGATGGTACATATGAGTATGTTAGCTTCTACCCCTGCCCCCTTCCACACTTGTCATTATCCAGAACTCTGGGAAACGAAAAGCTTTTTATAAATGGGCAGTCTGTTTCATATGTTCTTTTTTCCCCCTCTAATCATGATTAAAGAATTCCAGGGATAGGAATTGAAGTCTCTCTCAAAGCATATGGGCCAATGGGGTAACCTTTCCTGTCCTGTTTGTTCAGGACAGAGAGAAAACAGCAGGGACCACCAGCCCTGACAACTATGCCTATTTGCCTGGAATTCTGGAAATGTTCCTGGCACTTTGAAGTAGGGTTGTGACCTTGAAAGCTGTCAAATTTGATTGAAAAATTGGCATACTTTGAGCACATTAGGCATTTCATTATAGCTGGAAGCTGACTTAGGTGCTAATGTAAATCATCTCAGCGACTGGCAATGACCATAAGTTAAGTAATAGTGGTGTCATAGCTGTGGATTGGTGATTCCCCCTTACAACATTATGTTTATTCTGAATGCTCAGCAGGGTTTTGCTGTAGACAGTCAATGTGCAGGAAGGGAAACGGCAACTCTCTTCTGTTTGAGACCATCTGCAGGAGGAGTACAGTGCACTTGTGTAAACATATTCACCAAATGGAGTCTGGCATGTGTACACAGACAGAGATGAACCACTGGTAAGATTATTCATTAGGAGACTTCTTGCAACAACCATTTTTGATAATTTATTCACATAAGACCTTAAACTGACTACCATTCTTTGGAGGTGCTGACTCAAAATTAGTCTCTGGTAAGAAATGTGTTTGCTGTCACACATCCTACTGAGATATAATCTCTTTATTACTCACAGGCAGTTATTGGTGGAATTAGTATATTCAAACTATTAGTT